ATACAACCTACACATATATTTTTGGATGCGATTCATCGCGATTAATCGTTTCACAGCCCTATTAAAAAAAACAGTACATAAAAATGATAGAAATTACTTTTATATTCTTAAAATATTTAAATGTTATATTAAACAATAATAAAAAATAAAATAAATAATATTAATGCTGAATAGTCTGAATTAGACAAATTAGTTATGGAAAACCCTAACAAAAAAAAAAAAACACAAAAAAAACGATGAAAAGAGATTGTAATAAGTAATAAATTAAAAATGAATAAAATACACAATTTATAAAACACACATTTAAAAACAACAAAAAACCCTGTTATATTAATACAATAGTTGTTGACCTCTAACAGCTACAGCCTGTTAGCTGCAGATTAAACATTTTTTTTAAAGTTTAAAAAAAAGGAAGATTTATGCCAAACAGCCTATGTTGATCTGTAATCCCAGCGAAAAGCTTCGCCTCCCCAAAAATGGATCAAAATATGTCCCCTGGCTAGCCTACCCAGACCACGCTCTGCACTCTTTGAAGTCACAAGGGAAGCTCACATAACACTAATAGCCTAGTCGTGCTCCAAATGGCTGAGTCACTTTTTTCCCTCTTTTATTTTTTTTTTGCTTCAATGCTGTGCTGCCTCACTACCCAGCAGCTCTCAGACCATGTTGACCTTAAACCAGAGAAAAAAAAAAACAACACACACTTTTCCATTATCAGCCTCTCACCGCAGTGCACTTCCACCCAAACTCCAGGACGCGAGGCCTCGCAAGCCCCTGAAAAAACAAAAAAAACAAAACAGCCACCACAACCACTGTTGTCAGACAATAATTTGAAAAAAAAAAGACAACACAGGAAAGAAAAAAAAAACTGGCGCAAGATTCACTGTACATACTGTACCCTGGGCTGTGGCAGGCGGCCCAGACTGGCGCCCTGCCAAGTCCACAATAAAACAAACAGAGACGGCGTGCACCAACAGAGAGGAGCGAGGTGTGTGTGTGTGACTGAAATGGTACACCGCAATATACACGAAACACCTAATCCCATTCTTCAGCACCTTCCCCTGAAAATGAGGGAGCGGAGGAGGTGGAGGGCAAAGCCACTTGCTCAGTGTCACCGTTGTGAGCGCTGATAAAAATCAAACCGCTCAGAACAGGAAGAATAAAAACAGAAAGTTTGCAATGAAAGAACAAAAGCACACACACACAAAAAACAACAACAATCAAAGAGCCTCGCCGTGTCTCTGCCTCTCTGCCACTCGGTCTGTCTATAAAAGTGTTTCCACTGAAAAGCTTGAGCATTACACAAGAGTGAAGCTCTCAAGAGCCAGACTGCTACAAACAAAAACCAGGTTAGCGCTATGTGTCAAGCATCGAGCATATGAACGTTAAAACTGTTTTGTTCTAGGGTTTTTTTGTACTCTGTTTTGATGCACTAAAAATAAGCCGCTCGCTTATTCCGCCTGTTGAGGGAGGCTGTCTGAGGCTGCTTTTTTTGGTAAAGATCTTAAGGAATTATGACTGGTTCTTGTGCCGTTTTAAATGCAAAACTTCTAGTGTGATTACCGATATTTCTCATTTTTGGCTCAAACTTACAAGGGTGATGTAAATAAAGGGGAAAATATGAGATGTTTTGAGATGCCCTGACATTTGTGCTTTTTTCAGTTGCTTATAAACCTATTAATGGCACAGGTGAAATTACACTATTTAGCACAAACAGGGCTACCATAATATGTGAGCAACATGTATGTACATGTTTGTATTTTTGAGAGAGTATTGTTTGTGCGTGGTTATTGAAAAAACTAAAAATGAAAGTTCCTGAAGAGAAATCTTGTGCGTCTTGGTGACAAGTATTTACTGAGTTACAGTTCTTTTCCGGACGCGTTTCAGAATCATTTTTGCAGAGACAGAGTGAACACAACGTTTTGATGTTAATAAGAGTGTACACAAAAAAAAGAAGAACCTCTATAGTTTATAATCATGTATTGATTTTTTTTATATGAACATTAATGACGGAGTATTTTAAGTCTATGTTGCAGCTATGTGAAAAGAAACCAGCATAACGCGCAGGCGCGTTACTCGACCTCAGGGGGTTAACGGGGACATATGATGCAAAATCCACTTTTTTAGCCCTTAAATGCATTTTGTTGTATATTTGGAGTGTTTATAAGTACAGAAAATATTTAATTATTCTCTTCAGGTGCTTCGTTTATATCTTTATATTCTGTTTTGGCCATATTTTTCCACCTGTTCAGATTTTTCTGTTCTCTATGACGTTTTTTGAACTATCACGTCACTGTATTTGCAGCGGAACTGACAAATAAGGGCATTGACTACCGGCCCAACACGTCGAGCAATCCGCCATTATTATTTCTCGCTCCGATTTTGTAGTCCGAGCTCAATGATGAAGAAGTTACAAGAGGGCAAGTCAAAATGTTCTGTTCTTGGATATAGTGACCTGAAGCACTTCAAGGATCCCCACTTCAACAACCTCCGCCAGTATACAGAAGGGTTTGCCGATCGACTTCGTCTGAATGAGGGGTAAATTCCTTCTATCATTTAGCTACTGTGTTTTCTGATGCTTTCTACACGCAAGTTATTATATTATTATTAATACAGATTTTTAGTGGTAAGATTGGACCGTAGTCATTTATCTTGTCAGTGTGCTTGTTTTAACAAGAGAAATAGTCGACTTTCACTAATAACAAAACATAGTTAACTTAACGTTACATACCCCTGCATCCATATGAAGACGTTGTTCTGCAGGTTCGTCGTCGTCTTTTTCAACTCGCTCGCTCTGGCTCAAATATGTAAGGCTTGATGGACAAGTCTTCCGTTGTTGACAGTTTGTTAACGAGTGACTAAAAATGTTCTTTGAAGCTATAGTATATAATTGTATATCTCTTATCAAACTACAATAATGGCCGAACGCGGGGAGTTGAACCGAGTGGGAACTCAGCGACCTGGAGAGCGGGCGGGGAAATACGCAACTCCATTTTATTTAAAGGGGCCTCTTTGAAACGGGTCGCTCACAGACGCACATCAGAAAAGGGGCTATAATAATGAGGAATTCAGACCCAAGCATTGCAGTTATGCTTTATATAGACCACAAATGTATGATTTATAAGTAAAAATGAATGATTTAAAAGCATGATATGTACCCTTTAATGAACATGGCCAAGTTCAGCCACCTTGTGCAGATCCCCTCATCACTTGTTTGTTTCAGGGATCTGAGATCATTTCACAAGGATTTGGGGAGCACTATAAATTCACTTTAAATCTAAATGAGTTTGATGTGCCAATAGGCTTTAAGTATAATAGCTTATTCTAATATTAATTTTATAAAGTTGAGGAAGGAGGATTAGTTGGAGGTGAAGAAGCCGATAATAAAGACGTAGATGAAAAGAAGGGGGGCGATGAAAAAAAGCAGGAGAAGATGCAGCAGCAAAGGCAGAGCAGCAGGAAAGGACGGTGGACAGTGCGAACAGAAGAGAACTGACACCCTTAAACTCTTGAGCCGCAGCGACCGATGTTCAGACTACAGCAAACTCCTTCAGTAATCCAGAGAGGGTGAAGTGTGAGGCCCCGCAAACACCAACAACACACCAAATGACACTCGGTCCTTCTGTTTGGAGAGTCACTGAGCAAGTCGGTGGCTTTACAAAGGTCTCTCTGAAGCATTCTCTAGCCCAGTCTCATGCAACCCAGCTTCTGAGCCCAGGATTATCCGCAGTCATATTATGCAAACTGCACAAGCCAGTCTCCCATAAGGATTTCTGGATTACTAAAATGACACAGAACATACTTCTGCACGAGTACAGGCGTATCTGCGGGTCAGCGCGGAATACCAAACAGAGGTATTCATTGGAGTTCAGACTCGGCCTCTTTGTCTCATTGCAAAACAGCTCTCATAAATGTCACCGTGCTTCATGCTCCGTGGGCTGCCATTATGAGCGCACGAGTACTACAATATCTCCACAGAGTCTGTTATTGAACAAGCATCTTGGGATTTGAACAGCCTCTAAAATAAACATTAGATATTTCCTTAGAGCAGAGTCTGCCATGCTGAGTCGTGCATGAATTGAATCGGGCGTCCCAGCGTGAGATGTCACTCATCTCTCCACTCCACATGTTTTTAAAACGTCCCTACAAAAAGTCAATCTCATCTCACTATATGAAGATATTGACAGCAAAACATTCCACTGTTGCAAGGCACAAAGGTTTGGATGCGTAATCTGAAAGTTTTTTAAACTAATCTAATCTAAACCCCTAATTACTGCAGAATCAATTACCTCGACACAGCACTCGCTCGTAATTATCATAAACCCGAGAGCACTCTACGGTGTGTGTGTGTGGGGGTGGGGAGAAGCAAAAAGTATAAAAAGTTTGACCATTGTACATGTCTGGTGCAGTATGGACAAAACTAGATTCAATACAGACTATGAAAGAGCGAAACCTCCAGAAATCAGCTGAAAACAGAGGAAGATATTATAGGATACTACACAGAGATTAAATAGCAATGCACAACCTTACGAAAGTTTGGGTTAAGTAAGATTTTAAGTAAATCAATACTTTTCGGTGCATCTGAACTCTTCAAATTGCACAATACAAAAGTGGGTTAAGTTTTTTTTCAATAATGTTTCCAAAATATGTATAAGCTAGCTGAATAAGAGCTGTTTCCAACATAACAAGAAATGTTTTCCTAATCAGCCAATTATAACGATTTCTGAAGGATCAGGTGACACTGAAGACTGGAGTAATGATGCTGAAAATTTGGTTCTGCCATCACAGGAATACATTACATTTTAAAATATATTAAAATTATATTAAACTCTAATACAATCTTACAATATTACTGGGTTTTTTTTTACCAAATAATGCAGCATTGCATTAAGTGAACATAAGAGACCTCCTAAAAAATAACAAATAAGTCACACCAACCCCCAACTAGTACTGCAAGTAGTCACTACTATAAAAACAAGCATCCACATTAGTGATGATACCTGAGTGAGACAGCAAGTGCATCCTTAGGCGCAGACTGTCTAGGAAGCGCTTTCCACAAAGCTCACATCCATAGGTCTTCATTCCGCTGTGCAGCTTCCTGCAGGGAGAAACAGGACAACATAACATCAGCCAACACTGTTTATATTACTCACACACACACACACACAAAACAAAAAAAAAATCAGGCAAAGCAACTAGGTATGCTCTGAGATTCGATTAGTTTGCTTAAATGTCAAAGACAGAATAGACTGGAATTTACTTCCCACCACACAAGTCCTATCGTTCCTCCTCCCACACCAGATAACAAGACAGAGGGTATTAACCATAAAAAAGGTAAAACCACTGTTTATCTCAAGAGAGAATTAAACCAGTGTTTGCAACCAGTCAAAGTTAAACCTGCACATCTCCCAGTCAAACACTTCAGCTGATTATTCCCAAATTAGATAATCAGAACACATTTAAGCTTGTCACTAGACGTCGTGAAACGCTTTGAAAGCCAAAATTGTGAATGGCACATGAGGGTTCAAAGACCTATTGTTCATTCATGCAGTTCCCTGAGCGGAGATGAAGGAGCTCTTTATCTAAACAGGAACATATAGATGGCCATGAGCCCTCAGATAAGTTACTTTAACGGCTGAATCGGGCTACAGGGCCCATTTCAAACAGGGGGTCAACTTTTCATGAGCTGAAAGTGAAACATTTGTTCTCTTCAATTATTGGATTGAGGAAAGATTAACCTAACAGAATGGAGCCACACACGGAAGCATGTGGCCCCATTGAATTTTGAGTCAAGTGGACATTCAAAAGCCATTTTGAGGAATTAAGATAAGTTACTTTCCTAAAAAATAAATAATTAAACAGAAAATAAATAAATGAAAGTTTATCAAGAAAAGTGGAGAAGAACTACTACTGTAAGTAATCAAAAATGGTATTTTTTTTCCCGCTTTGGTCATGGTCTTATCTCGCCTAGGGCACCAAGTGAGTCAGTACTGCCACATATGGCGCTCCACTGAGCACAGGAAGAGACAAAGATTTCCTTTTGTTTCACTGTCCTTTAGATTAAGTCTGAAACAAGGTGCAGGCTGGCTGTTTTGTAGTGTATTTACCATTTCTACAATTAGCATTCTGGCTTTGGCCCATAACCCATGTGTGGGTTTAAATCAACCCGTGAATGCCCATGTGTGACTTTCTCAGGCTTGACGACAAAAGATCCCGAGCATCTGCATCTTTTCAACCGCACTAATCCTCAGATGCATCACATCCGATTGCTAATAAGCCAGTAGAAATGTTCGAAAGTCAACACTGATGAACTAACAAACTCAAGCTAGTCACAGCCACCCATTAGGAGTATGAAACTCAGTCACGGCAGGTAAGAGGTTTTATGGGTTGCGCTGCTCAAAGAACAAGGTTTGTAAGAGCGCCACGAGCACACTGGCAACTTGGCTGCGAGTGGGGAACTGAATTGGTTTTTATTAGCATGCTTACAGCATTTGGTAATTGTTTCCAGAGTGGTAATTAGCTCATTGTTTGCACTTTAGTGCCAAATGTATACATCTTTAATGAGTAACAAAGATGTGTATTCTTCACTTTCTATTCATTCTACATAGATAACGTGCACTGCAAAACCCGCTTTCGTTTCTTTAAACAGTGTCATTTTCATGCTAGTTAGATCCATAAGCAGTTTGGTTCAATTGATTCTTTGGTTGATTCTTTTAAAAAGACGCACTAACCAAAAACTATTTTTTATCGAACAACCTCTCGTTTCTGTTTGAAGTTGTGCGAATCAGCATCACATGCTGGGTCGTAATGATTTAAGCTATTATTCTCTGTTCTTATAAACAAGAGTTGGCAGAACATGGAAATAGTGGCAAGAATTATGAAGCAAGGAAGTGTGGTTTAACCTCAGCGAGTACAAAAAAAAAAAACACGATGGAAAACCATTTGGAGGTTGAGAATCGCAGAAGAGACTTCAGAAAACAAACAAAAGAGAGAGAGGAAAGGGGGCGGGGGGTGTTGGAGAAAACTTGCAATGCATCCAAAATCCTGATGGCTGTCTTCTAGATGGGGATTGTGGAGACCCAACAAACAAAGAGAAGAATGAAGCAGCAAAGCCCTTTGGCAAGCTGCAAGTAATTAAAAAGGCCTGTAAACGCCTTCCAGGATAAAGGGCACTTCAAAAGACGGGCGGGCGAGTGAGCGCGCGAGAGGGAGCTGGGAAAAGCCAGGGGTCTGTGCACCTTTGGGATCTGGGCTAATGCGGCACAATACAGAGATACTGTAGGGGGAACACTCAAAGGCCTTTGTGTGCCTTCAATCTAGCCATTGTCCCTCTCCTGAGGTCTGAGGAGAGCGCGCTTCCACTGATTAGAGACTGACAGAGCGCATACTGCGGAGTGACCCTCCGAGCCCTGAGGGGATGTTTGAGAGCTGAGAGAAGGCAGACCGGCTACTTGAGGCAGGAAGGGTTGACTTACACTTCATATTTTACATTACAATATAAGACTTCTGCTGTCATCTAATGTTAAGTTCATTACCTGACAAAACGGTTACTACCTTTACAAATGTTACTTTCAATTATGGATGCACAATATCTCTAGGGATGTACCAGGGTTACTATAGATAAACTACTGTAAAACCATACAAAACTTTTTTTTACTACAAAATAATAATAATAATAATAATAATAATAATAATTATACATATACGTATATATATGAAGAGTTCAGATGCAAAAGCCTCTAAGTGCCATTTGAAATTTTCTTCTAGAATGATCATTTTTATCAAGCTTGTATATTTAAGTTCAGTAATTTCACTTAAATTGCAATGATAATTACCTATTAATTGTTATTTAAATGAAATTACTGAACTTAAATATACAAGCTTGATAAAAATCATCATTAAAGAAGAAAATTTCAAATGGCATTTAGAGGCTTTTGCATCTGAACTCTTCATGTGTATATATATATATATATATATTATCACAGCTAGTGACTCTTTTTTAATTTTTGGTTTAACTTTACTATACACAAACTAAATACAAATAAAATTCATAAAAATAATTGTCATTTTTATAATTATTTTTTTGAAATGTCTAACACAACAATATTACAAACATTTTTTTAAATGGAATTGAATATAGCACATGCATTTCCCCTATTTTTATATTTATTTAAAAAAAAAAACCTTGTTAAATTTAATCTTTATCAAATCTCAAAATGATTATGCATTTTCATATTGTCAGAATAATACTGTGATTCCTAAATTCAAATTTTTTAGTTAATTTTTTTAAAATTTGTTTCCAAGTTAAATTTTTATGCTTAATTTATCATTTATTCAGACAAAACGGTGTCGTACATATCAGCTTATCTGTCTCTGCCATCTCTGTTCCAATCCTAATAAAGAGTTTTGCACTGACTGAGGCAGACGTTTTACATGCAATATCAAGGTTTGCTTAAAAGCGGAGGGAGGTAATTAGTTTTATCTGTGCCTCATTTTTACAGGTGCTTGGGAAACGAGGGGGACCTTGGATATGACATGCTCAAACCTGCTTCCAGCGTAGAGTGTGGCAGCAGTCCTGTCGTAAAGGCAAAGTTGCTGGGTCACCTGCCCCTGCAATTACTACAAGTTTATTTTCTGGGCAACCAGAAGTAAAGCCTCAGTAGATTTTATGGGACATATATGCCCCTGCACCCCACCTCTACAACATACACACACCTCGTATGTGTGAACTATGGCAGTTCGTCCCCCCTCCAGGCCTCTCCAACCAGCTGTGCTCTGGTCTCAGAAACTGTAGATGGTGTGTGTGTGTGTGTGAGCAGAAGAGAAAGGGGAGGGGTGGCTCTCCGTGTGCCTGAAACAGACTGACTGTAGTCATTAAGGAAGCAGGCATAAAACTCTCAAGCCATTTACTCAGTTAATAAGCGACTTTGTCTAACAGTCAGTTTTGACAACGGCAATAAATTTTAAATTTATGTCAACAAAACATATGCTGAACACCTCATTTCAATGCCGGAGTGGCATGCTGGCTCGTAAATCAGCCCTGTGTTTGAAACCCAAGTAGATTACGGGTCTGTGTTATTGAGCTGTTAGAGCCCGACCCATATAAACCTGAACTTTCTCACTCCTGAGTGGACCCCAGGCTGTACATCATAGCTAGGAGTTCCCCTGCCAGTGTGGCCTGGTCACTGCCTAAAAAAATAATAGGTAGAAGGCATGCAAGTATGTAAAACATATTTTAAACAATGACTAGTTGGATTCCTAAAATGACTACTTGAGTGTTCAGTTCAGTCGTAAAGGGAAAATTCTTACAGTTACTCAACCTCATGCTGGTCCAAACCTGAATGACTGGAAACACAAAAGCTGTTTTGAAGAATATTGGTAATCAAACAGTTTTAGTGACTGTCAATTTTCATTATGGACAAGGGAAAAAACACATCAAAATATCTTCTGTGTTTTACAGAAGAAAGTCAAACAGGTTTGGAATGACATGAGGGTGGATGACATTGATGAAATAATTTATTTATGGGCGCCCACTAAAAAAATGCTGATGAAAAAATGAAATGGGTCTGAGTGACACATGACGTCTTAATGCAACACTCATGGTGGGACATTCAAAAACAGCATGAGATGCACCACAACTTTCAAAGACCCTCATCCGAATGTGTATGGCTGTAGCGGTGATGCAAGGGGGTGCATTTTTAAATGGAATGAAAACTTTTCTGAAAGGGTTTGACCAAAGTCCTTTTCAAGAAAAGTCTGTTCACTTTATGTCCACATTTGCAACGCCTCTGGGAAGCTATTTCGGGCATCCAAGACCAAGTCAAATCTACCACTGCTTGCCAAACTGACAATTAAATAACACATTTCAAATCAGCAACAAAGTCTGACATAAAGTGTTGCATAAATGTTATTTCTTCTGTTCAAGTAGCGATAAAAAGTGTATTTTTTCAGACCAGACCAGTGCATCTGCAGTCCTATAAGCCCAAGTGTCAGGTTTCTATGGCAACTGGAGCTTTCAATGGCAGCTTTAGTGACGCGATGACTTTATCAATCAACAATTGGCTCTTTTATTTAGAAGGCGGGACTTAATCCACCATG